ATTACCAAAAGATTCTGGGAAACTCTTCTTAAGCACATATAACACATAATTATTGCTATAAAAGTTTTACTTAAAAACCTTTTATTCTACTTAAATCTATTTAATTTATTTATCTTTAACAAATATGTTTAGATTACTCATGAAAACTTCATGAGGTGTTAGACCAAGTCAGCCATCACTCCAAGTTATTTTTGCTGACAAACTTATAAGCTTATGTAGAATAAAAGTATTATATTTAATGTTGATAACTATAAAGAAATGTCTGTTTTAATTAGATCAACAAATTAAATTGGCTTTAATTTCAAATCTTTTTTCCAAGTCATATGAACATGAAAACCATTTGGTTTAGTTTCTATAGTTCTGAGAATTGTAGTATACCCAATCCTTAATTTATATAAGCACTTGTTTGTTGTTACACACACACACACACACACACACACGAACATACCAACAGACACCTCATGGCTTCCATAAAAGAAGTGGGATCTGTTCAAAAGACCTTTCTCCAGGGCCGACCGAGTGGCAAGTTGGTTAGGAGTTGGCTTGGGACGCCAGCTCTGAGCAGCAGGGCCCCGGTTCGGATCCCACATTTAGGGCCAGTGATACTGCATCTTCTACAGCTAAGATGGTGAACAACAGCTCGACCTGGAGCTGGGCTGCTGTGAGTCACCGGCAACCGTGTAGGCTGAAGTGGGGCTGGCCAGCAGCCGCCATGAGCCGCCATCCAATGGCTGGCGAGCGACTACCTCACCGAGGAAGAGTGCAATGATCACAACACCACCTGGCAAGTGAAGCGACATCCTCAACTAGACTGAAGAACAAAAGGACAGCAACTTGTCTGTTCCCCTTCCCGGATTCCCCAACACTCCTCCCCCAATTACCCAATAAAATTTTTAAAAAAAGACCTTCCTCCACCCCAACCTTTTTAAAAAAATAAGAATTATCTTCCTGACATTTGCAGCTTAAAAAGATAGCCTAGGTAAGAGTTCCTAGAGAAGACCAGGTATTTACATCTCAAAGGCACAGGGAAAGAAATGTAAGCACCTCCTAAAAGGACTTTGAGATGAAGAGGGGAGGCTTGGGGGGATGGTAAAAATCCCCATGCTCCTGTGGCACCATATGGCTTCAATTTCTACGAATTTTTTAATGAAATTTGAAAAATTTGGTCTATAATTTACAATGAATTTTATTCACTTAAGGATGACCTTGTAATTTCTGCTTTTAATTTGGAAAATTTTATCAGATGCTCCAAGAAGGCATGTATGCCAGGCTGCTGCTTCCTGTTAAACAAAAACTAAAGGCCAAAGTAAGAGGCAACAAGCACTTATTTGAGATCCAAAAGAATAGCTATAGCTATTCTGGATGCACTGATTCGGATAGAAACTCAAGTCGTGTTCCAATTAGAAAGGGAAGGCAAGGGGTGTTTATGAGAAAGTGAAAGGGAACAATTTCATCAGTAGAAGTGTTATGTAGGTATTTCTATACGTGTAGGTATTTCTATACGTGCAGATAAACTAACAGTGATGATGCTAATTCTAAAGAATGTTTTAAATCTTCAGTCCCTAGTAATGATATCTGCTTTCTTGTTATCTTGGCAAACAGTTGTTGGGAATACAATTCCTCTTTAGGCCCAGTTTAAAGGCTATTTACCCAGTTTTAACATTCCGAAGGTTTGAGGAGTGACTAAGGAGTTCCTCTGGGATGAGTGTTGCTTTGTCTTCATTTTAGAGTGGCTCCTTTTCTATTATTTTTCACACCCCAGAGAAGCCAGAGCTTCTTTGTCACCAAGCAGGTCTTAGGAGGTGAGACTTAAATTTTTTTTGGAGGAACTGGGTCCCTGGACAGTCAATTGCTGGCCTCAGCCAGGTGGGAAAACAGCAACTTGAAGAAATTGTTGTTTGCAGTTGAGATTTTAACCTTTTGCCTGCCTCAGAAATTCCCACCCCACTTTTTTGTTAGGATCACAGGTCCTCACTGGTGTGCTTATGATACATGCCACCAACAAGGTTGACAAATAGGAGGTTAGACGTTCCACTCCTGTTGGGTCAGCAGCAGCAGCTCTCATTTCTTTCTTTTCTTTTTTTAAAGATTTTATTGGGGAATTAGGAGAAGGGAACAGCATTGGGGAATCGGGGAAGGGGAACAGACAAGTTGCTGTCCTTTATGTTGTTGTTGTTCTTCAGTCTAGTTGTGGAGGACATTGCTTCACTGGCCCAATGTTGGTATTATCATTGTGCTCTTCCCGGGTGAGGCACTCGCTCGCAGGCCATTGGACGGCGGCTCACGACGGCTCAGGGGCAGGCCACTGCAGGAGAGGCTGCAGCCTACTCCATTGCCAGCGACTTACGGCAGCCCAGCTCCAGGTCAAGCTGTTGTTCACCATCTTAGCTGTAGAGGGCGCAGCGTCACTGGCCCTCATGTGGGATCAGAAGTGGGCCCCAGGGCTGGCCGAGTGGCGCGTTGGTTAAGAACTGGCTTAGGATGCCAGAGGGCCCCGGTTCGGATCCCACATATGAGGGCCAGTGACACTGCCCTCCACAGCTAAGATGCTGAACAACAGCTCAACCTGGAGCTGGGCTGCTGTGAGTCACCGGCGACGGCGTAGGCTGCAGCCCCTGTGGCAGTGGGTTGCCATGGGCTACCGTATGTAGCTAGCAGCCAGCGTGAGTGGCCAGCAGCTGCAGTGAGCAGCCGTCCAGAAGCCGGCGACTGATCTGCCTCGCCCGGGAAGAGTGCAATGATGGTGCCAACTTGGGCCAGTGAAGCAACGTCCTCCACAACTAGACTGAAGAACAAAAAGACAGCAACTTGTCTTTTCCCCTTCCCCGATTCTCCAATGCTGTTCCCTCCCCCAATTCCCCAATAAAATCTTTAAAAAAAAACAAACTATTAAGTCAATAATAGTACAAGTGACAGTATATGTGACAAATTTTAAAGGCGATTTGGAGCTTCAAGGTGGTGGATGACAAAAATCTGAAGGTGATAGGGAATGACTAGAGTCAGCAGGCCTGAACTAAAACGACTCAGCCACAGAGGTGTGTGTGCCTGTGACACTCCACTCCTTGGAACATTAGTCTTCTCAAACCAGGATTATTTAACCCACTTATTTGCAGAAGGGTCATGAGAATGAAACATAGAATCTATAAACTTTTTGGCTAGAATAGAGGTCCTATTATTGATACCTTTATTATTAGTAGTAACAGTAGTAGTATTAAAAATGTAAGTGACCCACCACCCAGGGATTCCCAAAGCCGAAGCTTCTGTTTTTAACTCCCAGCCCGGGGTGGGGGTGGGGTGGTACTTTTCCAGGGCAATGGATCAATTATAAGGTGACCCACATATGATGAAATTAGCTTAATACTCACTTCCTACCCCAAGAGCGATGGTAAGTTTTTGCATCTGCTAGTTTCCTGTACACCTGTCCCAGCGCTGAGCTGGTTAGGACACTCCAGGTTCTGAGAATTAAAAGTCCTTTCTGGAACTGCCTTTTCTTGTGCAGCATCTTGGAGTTGACAGTGACAGGTGGGGTTTTTAACATTTACTTGGTTGTTGGTGCTTGGTTGCTGCTACTATTTACTTTAAAACTTTCGAACACCCCCTAATATACCTCCTTCTTAAACTTTGTGTTTTAAAAGAGAAGTAAATGCTTCGCTTGTTTTGAAAGTAGATTGTTCTGTTCTACCTGTGGCATCTACTGCGACCGCCAAATGCAGCGACAACTCTGCAAAGGTGTCCCTTGTTGGGGTTTTGTGATTACAAAACGGAAGCCTGAAGGGGAGAGGGGGCGTGGCCCTCCCGGGCTGGGGGCTTCTGGCTTGGGCCGCGTGGTCTGGGACCCTGTTCTGCCAGGCTTCTGCAGGGAGTCTACAGGTCAGCGGGGGAGGGGAGGGGAGGTGGGGGTGTGTGTATGAGAGAGTAGTGAGAACCCCGTCGCTGGAGCCCCCCTTTCGCTAAGCCAGGCCCATCCCTTCACCCAGCTAAGAGCTTTAACACGCACTTTTGTTGAAATACTTTCGAGCAGCCAGAGAGAGGGTGATCCAGCCCCATTCTGCAGTTGAGAAAGCTAAGGTTTGAAGAGGTGGTTAAGAAACGTGCTCAAGGACATCTGCCAACTCTCTCGAGCACAAAACCCTTTCTGGGGATCCCTCCATAGTCGGCCCCCCCAACACACAC